ATCCAGGGACTCCAGGATCATGACCTGAGCCGAAGGCAGTCGCTTAACCAACTGAGCCACCCAGGCGCCCCATCATCATTATTATTATTTTTCTTGTTTGTATAGTAACAGAGGGAACCCGTTAGTATAGCTCTCTACTGGGAAACCCCCAGCAGTGTCTCACTCCGAGTACAATCCAGAGTCCCCACTGTGACCAGGGACTCCAGGATCATGACCTGAGCCGAAGGCAGTCGCTTAACCAACTGAGCCACCCAGGCGCCCCATCATCATTATTATTATTTTGCTTGTTTGTATAGTAGCAGAGGGAACCCGTTAGTATAGCTCTCTACTGGGAAACCCCCAGCAGTGTCTCACTCCGAGTACAATCCAGAGTCCCCACTGTGACCAGAGAGCCCCGTGCTGTGGCCCTCGCGTGTCTGGCCCCATTGCTTACGATCTCACTCCATTCCAGGCTCTTAGATCTACCCGTTTCTTGAGCACATTAGGTGCTCTTAATCTCAGGGCCTTTGTGTTTGCTTTCCATCTCCTGGAATATCTGCACATGTGTGTGTCATTTCCATCAGGGTTTTGCACATAAAAGTTACATCAGTTAGGCCTCCCTTGGCCCCTGTCTAAAATGTTAAACATCCCCCTTCCTGCCATGTCACAATCCCCTTTGTTGCTTTGTTGTCCCCTTAGCCCCAACCCCTTTTTTTCATTCTATATCTCTTATTTAGCCTGTTTATAAAATTCTCCCTGAGTAGAATGCAGTCCCCACCAGGGCAGAGATTTTTTTTTTCTTTCTTGACTGCTTTCTTTTTGGCACCTAGAATGATGCCTCGTGCAGAATTGATGTTCAACGTGTGTTCAGTGAATGAATGAGTTAACTGAGGCTTATGTGTGAGGCACCATAATTAATGCCATTTCAAGTATTTCATTTAGTTCTTACAGTGAGGTGAGATTGGTTCTATTTATTCTCATTTGGTAGATAATAAATAAAAATCCAGGGGGCTCCTGGGTGGCTCAGTCAGTTAAGCATCTGCCTTGGGCTTGGGTCCTGATCCCTGGGATTGAGCTCCACGTCGGGCTCCCTGCTCAGCAGGGAGCCTGTTTCTCCCTCTCCCTCTGCCTGCCAGTCCCCCTGCTTGTGCACGCTCTCTCTCTCTCTCTCTGTCTAAAATAAATAAATAAAATCTTTTAAAAAAATATCCATGAAACCCATGCCCTAATTAACTTGAGACTTAGAGAGTTGGTGAGTAACTCAGCCAAATTTACATAGTGGGTGAGAGAACAGAAAGTGAACTCTTGTGTGTGTGACCTCAGAGCTGGACTTTTTACATCCAACTGGTGAACCTCTATCCAATAGAAATTCACTTACAATTCTGTTTGCTGTTGAGGAACAGACTTTTTAAAGAATAAAAATGATAGAAGTTCACTAGCTTAGGAACACAAAGCATTGTATATATTGCTGGATAGAAAGTCAAAAGGCTGCAGTTATGTTTTTACATCATGGGTTTTGGGGGGGCGGGCTGTGTGTCTTTTTATTTTATTTTTAGAACTTGTTTCCCATTTTTGTTGAGCTAGAACTGACATACAGCACCCTGTAAGTTTAAGGCATGCAGCATAATGACTTGACTTACCTGTATTGTGAAATGATCACCACAGTCAGGTTAACATCCCTCATCTCATATGGATATGGGAAAGAAAAAAAAGGGGGGGGGGTTCTCCTTGTGATGAGAACTCTTAGGATCTACTTTCTCATACAATGTTTTTAAACAGGAGAAAAATGCTTGGAAATTCCAGAAAAAAATTGTAATAATAAAGTATATCACTGAAACTATAGTCCTGTGTACCAGTTGTAAGACATAGTAATATTTCATTCATAGAATTTACTAGACAAAAAGATAATTATCAAACTATATCATCATGAGAAAATCTGCTCTTCTGCTCATGTGTTTTCTCTCCTTTTCAGACCCTCCTCCCGTGCTTCGGGTGGACGACCGGCAGCGACTGGCCAGGGAGCGACGGGAGGAGCGCGAAAAGCAGCTAGGTATCCATCCCCAGCCTCAGCTCATCGTTCAGGGACGCTGTTGTTGAGGTGTTACTTTTCACCTCGAGGCTAGTGGACACTTAACCATTGAGCACACAGGCATCACTATAATAACCATGCTCTCTGCCTTTATGAGTTGTACAGGTGGATGTGAAACAGAATTGAGTATGTGATAGACACATAGGACTAAATTTTAAGTAACAGGAAAGCCCAGCCCAGGATTAGGGTCATTTTCACTTCTTTGACTGTTTAATGTGGCACTGGAGAGAATGTATATATGACAGGCATGATGGCTCAGCTTATCTTTTACAGCTTAAAAACAAAACAAGGACAGTAAGCTTACGGTTCTCTTTTATGTGAACAGTCATAAGCATATACACTGCTAGGGCACGTCCTACTTTCCATGATAAAACCATGCTGCTGCTGAATTTAGAGACAGATGCAACCAGCATGCTGCCAAGAAAAGTGCAAAACCTAGTGCTGAGCTGTCGGGTTTTTCTTTGCTACCTAAGGTCTTTGTGAAAGGTTAGCAACTGTGGTATTGACCATACCATCACCTGGAGAGCTGTGTCCTGAGGACGACTTTACCGGGAAGCGAAGATCAAAGCACCACTGTCTTCTAGAACATTGAGCAAGGATGCTAGTGCTCACTCCTCCTTTACTTTGATGTCCATTTATGCCAAACTGCTAAAACAGGATCCTCTCCTTAAGGACCTTGGAAAGCTGAAATGTCCAGTTAGCATGTCTCAGTGTCCCCAGAATGTGTCTGTCATTTAAAACTAGGACTGACTGAGGTGGCCAGCATATTCCCAGGGCATGACCCATAACAACTTTTCTAGAGTTCCACCGCGTTTTGTAAGAATTCGTGTTTCAGTGGGAGAACCCAGCACCTATGCCCCATCTTTTCTATTGTTCCAGTCCACAACCCAAATTTGTGAAATTGACTGGAAGCTGGTTTTCAGAAGTCTGTTGCCATTACTTAATTCTTCCAACACAGGCCTTTTTTCCTCTCCTTTGCCATAATGGGCATGCGAGTTCAGTTCTTTTGCTGCCAAGGTCTTTTCCACACCAATTTCAACAACTTGGTGGAAGGGAGTGAGCTCTGCCGCCTTTCTGTGCCTGGACTTACTGCCCAGGCTTGAAATTCCCTGTGGCTGACAGGCTTCCTGCCCGCGGGTAGGTTCCTGGCAGCAGGGCTGTCTGTGGCCATGAGGCTGATGCTTTCCCAGAAGCACTCTGCAGCCTGGCTATCTTCCTCCTGGGAGCTATGCCCACTGCTCCCTGATTCAGGTTGGTTTGACAAGTAGATCAGAACAGAGGAAAAGACAGAGCTACCCAAGCAGAAAGAGATTCCAGATAAGCAAAAAGAAGAAACTGCCCACTGCTCTGGGATGGCTGGTATTTGCACTGTCTTTGGATCTATCCAAGCATGAGCACTTGAGTTCTCTCCCCTCTCTGCCTCATCTGGTGGGTCAGGTCTTAACGCTATCCAATCTCCCCTTAGAGTTGCAACATGGATTCCTATCTGCTTGAGTAGAAGTAGCTCCAGAGCATCAGGAGACTCCTTTATGATTTATGTCCCATTGTGAATTAGCTTTTACACATTAACTCATACATACCTTCCTGTTCGGGTTTGTCTTTCAAAGCCAAGCACTATTTGGTGTTTTTTGTTTTTTGTTTTTGTGGAATGTATGAACATGCTGGTCAAACAAAAATGATTTCACTTCTTATTCTATGAAGTTATAAGACCTAGAGCTTTGAGTCTGCACAGTCTCCTGCAAGTTGCCTAGCTTTGTATGTTGAGTGGCTCGATTTTTGTCTTAAGATGTAGCCCCATATTTTAATTCATATCCACAGGGCAGCACACAACTTACTAATTTTAAATTCGAAAACCGTGTTTGCCAGGTACAGTGTTCAAAAGATAGAGATTGAGACCCAACCTTCAAGGGCTAGCTGCAGAGTAGTGGGGAGGGAGATAAACTTACAGCAATTATAATATGAGGTGGTATTGAAAGGGTGTGCACACGGGTTGGTGAGAACCCATAGAAGCACCTAACCAGCCTGCAGGAATCACGTGCCACTGGAGTTCCCCACTAGAGGATGTGGACCTGCTATCTAGGAGGATGGAAGAGACAGAGACTATAGAACAGTGACACAGGGATAGGAGGGAAAAGGCAGTTGCTAAAGAGACTCATCATGCTCCGTGGATTATATTATATGGGTCAAAGTAATTTTCAGGTGATTGTATTATCCTGTTACTACACTTGGACTGTTTTAGTGAGCCAGCATATAATATACATAGTTTTTCTTCTTATCCCTGCCATGTTAAATATCATGGTTTCCTTAATTCTGATCTTTTTTTGTTGTTAAAAATCACAGTTTTCATGAAATACATCAGTCCTAATTTTTATTTTTTATTTGCATTAATTGCATTTTCTTTTTAAATTTTAAAGCAATGTCTTTTTGCCTAATTTTTTCCACTTAAGCCATCACAGCAGCAACTAAACATTGAGAGGCTCTCTTCAGTCTTCATAAACACATGAATAAACATACATGTAAGCACACATAAATATATTTGTAGAAGTGTTATCTAAAACCTAGCATCTAACTTAAATTGTGCCTTACAGTATATAAAGGTGATTTCTAAAAAAAATCGTTAGTACTAAAAATCAAAGGGCACACCTGAGCAACTACCCTTCAACTGTGCTTTGCAAAAACTATAATGGCAGTGGAATATTTAAAAAAGAAAGGGTGAGGGACTGTCACTTAGTAACAGCTCTCTGGACTGTGCTTTTTAAAAACAAAAACAGTTGGTAATACCAACTGCTACCAGGCTTTCAAACTTTAAAGCTTTTCAAGTAAAAAAAAAAGGAGTACATTCCGTAAATTCCAACAAAGCAAAGTTTTAAATGATTGGCCATTGAGATTGGATTATTTACTGTTGGATGTAGGTTGAAATTGACACTGAAATAATTAAAAATTTTTGTTTTAATCCACAGTTTTGAAAAAGCAAGGTAGAGAGGGAGAATAAAGTTCTTTTTGTTTTGGGTGGGCATGTCATGTTTGTACTATTTTGTAAACAGAAAGGACCTATTAATAACTTTCTGTGGGTTAAATCTCTGAGTCATGCTATAATGCTTTTATGGTAGGATTATGTCATGTGGCTTGTTCTTTCTACATTATCCTTCAATTTATCACATAAAGCCAGGTATAATTCTTCATATTTGGGACTGTTCTGTCCATTTGGTTGAGCACACGTACTGTGAAAGCTTTATTTTTCTGTCTTAAAAGCTTTATTCCTGAAGGAATCTCCCTAACCACTCTATTCCATCTGATTCTCTTCAGGCCATTCCTTCAAACTCTCTTCTCTTAACTTCTGTATCATTTTTCACCATCTCTCTTCCAAACTTTAATCTTTTTTCCTAAGGGAAAAAAAAAAATTCATTTGTTCTCATTGGTTTCGACTCTCCTTTTTTGATGAAATGGGTCCTACACATTCGTTTGCTCATAAGGTAGTAGATGCTTCCCCATTATCTAAAAGTCAGCTTCTGTACAACTAACTTGCTCATCAACTTTCATTCCAAAACCGACTCCTCTGGGTAATTTTTGTGGCCCGATCAATTGCACCAGTATTTTTCTGGCCCCAAGAAGTTCTTTCTTTCAGCTGTTTTTGGTACTTGTACTGTTGCTGGAGAAACTGGCGTCTTTCTGACCACCAGTCTTAGCTGTTGGATCTTTTGCATTGTAAAACACTTTTTTCTCTTCCTTGGTGTCCCAGTGCTGGGCCCTGACTAGTCTCCACCCTGGCCTATTGGGCCACTTGAAGTTACCAGTGGTGAGTCGGACTCAGCCTAGTCCTCAAGCTGGAACTTCAGCCATCTCTTGCCTAGTAGGTAGGTGGAAGTCGCCACATTCTCTCTGTCCCTCAATCCAGTTAGTCATAAGAATAGCTGGCGCTATCTTCAAAATAAATCTCAGGTCCTGCCTTTAAATTTGCTGCCTATGCTATCGTCCTCGTCCAGGGCTTCATAAATTCAGGTCTTGGTCACCAGAACGATCTCACCGATGCACTGCATTTCTCCAGCTGTGTTGCAGTTGGCGCTGCTCCCTCTTTTGAAGCCCTTCCTAGTCTTCATGGCCTTTCCCCTTTTGGAAATTTGATCATTTTCTCGCTCTACAGTCTATTTTGCATAACATCGTATTTTAGCTCTCATTCTAATGCTGTTGTATGCTCTCCTGAACTTTTCCTAGTTGAATTTTATGTAACTTCTTGGTTCGTATGTTTTAAACTTTTAAAGGGTGTGACTGACTATAATTTGCTAATTCTTTGTATCCCAATACATGGCATGGTACTAATTATTAAACAGACATGTAAACATTTGCGGATATTCCTTACTCTGCGGTCTTTGATGAAATATTATTAATAATAATGGGCCAAACAACATTATACATTGCATTATCACATTTAGTAGCAAATTAACACCATGGTTGTACTTTTTATTGTGTAGGCCTGCTATAATTGTTAATGTAATTTATTTTATAGAATGGCATTTATTTTATTTTTACACTGTGATAAGTTAGCTTAAGGAAGGAACTGAGAGGATGCCTGGGTGGCTCAGTCATTAAGCATCTGCCTTGGGCTCAGGTCATGATCCCAGGGTCCTGGGATCGAGCCCCGCATCGGGCTCCCTGCTTGGCGGGGGGCCTGCTTCTCCCTCTCCCACTCTCCTTGCTTATGTTCCCTCTCTCGCTGTGTCTCTTTCTGTCAAATAAATAAAATAAAATCTTAAAAAAAAAAAAAAGGAAGGAGCTGAAAGAATCTAGAAAGATGGAATAGATGGATTTTCTTTCAGCCAGAGCATATTTAAGCATATCTTTAATATGTCTTTGATATTACTCTCAACATCCACGCATGTGTATATTTTTACTTACTTGTTTATTATCTGTCTGCCCCCACTGGGATATAAGCTGCACAAGAGAAAGTACTTGTGTCATTTTGT